GTGCCTCACGCACGTAGCCACTGTAGCGAGATAGCTGGGGAGGGATCGTCGATCAGAGTAGATAGCATACTGGACGGTAAAGTACATCGGGATCCCTGAGATAAGGTTGCATGAGCTTGCACGTGCCTTGATAATTATATGCCTCGCGGGGTGGGGCATTGTCATTCAATCGGGGCTTAGTTAGAATTGAAGTGTTTTGGTATTATTAATACTATGACAATATACAGTAGAAAGAGAGTAGCGGGAGAAGAGTAGGAGAGTGGTTGGAGACTAGAGCTCGGAAGCTAGACAAGGCAGTGCGGGCTTTTAGAGGGTAGTAGGAACTTAAGCGGGAGATGGAGGTGGACTTGAACAGGATCTTGTGTAACCACGGCAAGAAATAAAATTTAACTGAAATACCACGTGTCGGAGTAATTATTGTGTAACAATCGACGTGTGGCTACCCCTATCTATGAATTTTCATTCTGCATTAAAGCCCCAATATACGTAAAAATCACTATAAAAAAACCAAACTTTAATCTTATTTTCCCCGTAATATATGTAACAAAACAAATACTTTCCTTTAATTAAAGAAAATAAAACTGACTGTTTTCAATTTAAATAAAAATTGAAAAAATCGGAAAATAAACAATTTGGGACGCACTAATTCATACATTACCGCTCGTAGCGATGACATTGCGCATGCGCATATTCCGCGTGTGTAAACATGGCAGACACAGTACCGACGTCCACCATTCGCTTCCTTTTTTTCCAATCATACATCAGGCAAGTTCTCAATTCTTACGTTATAATTGTGCGTCATATCGTTTCTAAACTAATTATTCCTTCTAATAATTTCCCAAAAACTGAATGTTCATCACAGGAATACATCAAGTCTACGACAAGACTTCGCAAACAATGTTTGTAAACAAAAACTTACCGTAGACATATCTGCATGTGATTCCTCTATAAGTAGAAACCTCAACTCTCGCGAGATCAGGTCATGAACTTTCCGACGTGGTTCGGCAACAACCGTAATTTCGATGGCGCGTGTTTAAAATGGAGGTGTGTTTACAAACAGCGAGTTTCAACTGCTCATATATCAATACTTTATGCACAAAGTCATGGTAACTATTGTTTGAATAACTTAATTTTAACTACATCTTAGAGAATATCTCAATAATTATGTGTGATTCTACACTAATTTTTTGGTGAATGTTACGTATATTGGGGCTTTAATCGTGACATATTTTGTCGCAACATATGGCTCTCGCTGTTTTGCACAGAGTGATAGTGACCGTAACTCCTGGAGTATCGAGGATAACTATTTTTGACCGGGATAAAGATGCGAGCAGGGAAGTGTTGGCTCATTACTTTAATTGACACTCCTACTCCTTTACTCCTCAATTTCCCGCCTCATTTACAAGGGCAAGGTTCGGGGAAACAACATCCTTGATACTCCAGGGGTTACGATCACTTGATCGTAACCTCTGGAGTGTCGAGTGTCTATCTGTGGTAGAGACCAGATATGACCTGTTTTATTATTGACTCGAAGTTTTGTGATTTAGAATTCCTGATATAGTTTTCATGTGGTTTTTTTCTTCTTCTTCTTTTTAAGATTTTGTTTCTGTAATATAAAATGGACAGCTGTTTAAGATTTTGTTGTTGTTTATTCCTCGTCCAAGCTCTGAGTGAGTATACAATTTACATGTCATAAAATATAAACACTATAAATTGATATGTACAATACAACATTACAATTCCACAGTAAAACACATTATAATTGATACTGATATAGGGATATAATTGATATCCTATCAATAAAGAGTTACAATCATATAAAATTGAACTACACAATAATGATTTACTATAATGAACATGTACTGTATTGCAAGACTTAAGATTTGATGGTGTTTGGGGAATATGGGGAATATTAGCTAATGATAAAGTCTTATTCTGCTTGGCTTGTGAAAAGTAAACAATGCCTAGAAATATAACTGAACCTACAGGGTACCTATAGTTTATAAATGATACACATGAATAAAATCTGAGAAGTAAACAATGAACACATTAATTCACATAAAAAATGAAGGCAGTAAAAGACTGTATTTAGCTGGGCACAATACTAAGGTAAAATAATCTGTTATTTACATTCGAAACTCCTACTTTCACTTTACTATTGCTATTTCCGGTTTGTGATGGTCACTTCCGGTCAGGCTAACTATTCTGGACATGACATCAAATGTAAACAATGACTTTAACCCTATCATGTTCTAACCATGCAGTCTTATCACTCAAGCGAGACTGATACGAAAACATTTAATACTAATTCTAGATATTTACAAGAAATCACAATGATTTTCATATAAATGCAAATCAAGTACACAAGGAAACAAAGCTTTGTCTGCTTACAATAACAGTGTGAAGAATATGACCTAGGTACATATCACTTTTACAACAATAAAATGATAAATCAGTAACATACAACATTACCTGAAGTTGGTGGAATGATGGATCTCAAATCCAACCAATACAACATAACTTATGAAATGATATGTATGCATTTTAAACTGTCTGCAGTCGCTCCATGTTTTCTAACTTTTGAGTGGTAATCTCACATGGGAGATAACTCTAGCCAAATTTGATTCAATAAGGTTACGCAACACTAAGCTGTGTGCGCTCTAGACAATAATAGTGAAATCCAAGGTAAATTTTACCTTGATGGGAAATAATCACTCTTGCCTCTATAAATACAAATGTTGGATTAACTGCCATACAACTATGTATAAATAGAGAAAGTTGTAATTACGAAGACGAAGAGAAACTTTGCCTATTTTAGAATCAACAATTTCTTTCGTATGGAGGACTGTGACATAAATACATACACAATAAAATATATACAACATTTAACAAATCATACACAAACTTACAATTAAAGTCAAAGAAACAACTTTGAAATAAAAAGCATTAAACAATATTTGTAAATAAATTCAAACTTGAATTGACAATGGATACAAAGCAAATATGAAAAGTAAAATACAAAGTTGCTTACCTGTAATAAAAAATGGACAGCTGTTTAAGATTTTGTTGTTGTTTATTCCTCGTCCAAGCTCTGAGTGAAGAGTTGGGCAGTAATACCAAAATCTAAACAGGCTGACCGAATGATCTTTGCCTTCTGATTGGTCAGTTCGATGTTCATCTATGAGCTGATTGGATAGATCATAATTATTGCTCAAACAATAAAACTAACTAGTTTACGTTGACATGCCGCGCACGCATCTACCCGTACTGTCGCTAATTGACACTTAATACCTGACACGCCTGTCAAACAATTAACTGACCAGGTAACATCACAGGTATGTTGTAAATGCCATTAAATGACTTTACAGGAACAAAGGCGGGTAAACCTGGACAAACGGTTGTTTTCTTCAAGTGACCATAGAGTAAATAAAATTACATAAACTATGTATATGTTCTTTGTTCGTTAGCTAAACAAAGCTTATATCTTACAGCGTGTGTAAGATCTTATTACACGTATCAAAGAAAATCATGTAAGGCTTAAGTGCCGATAAGTACTTATTGTAAACCTGACATTCTTGATAAACTTGTACTACATACTTTGTGTGTCTGAATATTTCAAACTCCTAAAACCTTATATTTCTCTTCTTCTTCTCTAATTCTAGTAAAATATGGTTTACTAGAGAAAAAATCTATAATGAACTTTTTTTATGAAAAACAACAGATTTCCACTATGAAATATACATGCACAAGGGCACTGAATACCACTCAACTGTTACCTAGTCATGTGTTGTTAGATGTAGACACAGATATAGTATAGCTGAGCCATCTCCCATGTTACACCTACCATTCTATAGCGATTTACCGATTATATGTACAAAGAAGGCAACCACTCGCTACACTGTGTAAAGAAATACTTTTTGAATTGAACATGAAAATGATTTATCATACATTTCATATAGTTTCATACTGCAAATCACACACGTAAGCGCTTAGTTGAGAAAGCATTACGATAAATAATTTCTTTCCGGTAATCTGCCATTCACGTCAATAGAAAACTTACACATGGCAATAGCGACACATTGACAGGTCAGTCAGTGATAACACAGTTTATGGGGATCAGGTGTGGGTTGTAGAATATGCTCGGTAACTTCACAACAGCTCACAACTAGAGTGCTGTGTCATATATAGAGAAAAAGATTACGTCATATTAGACCCCTCGTTTTACCCATAAGTATAAATGAAGACCATTGCTTTCACCGAAAAACGGGCAAAAGAAAAAAATGTAATAAGATTAAAAGAATAGTAAAAGATAATGAAAAAAAATAAAATCAAACAAAAAACAAAATGAAAAAATGCCCTTTTTAAAACTTTCAGTAAAGAAAATGTGATGTTATTTTCCGCACGGCGATGTATTTCTCGTCAGTAATACAGCTATCTGGATGGCGTGATAAGTATCGTATATGTGTACACGCCCTTTTTTTTTTAAAGATTTTCTTCCGATACGTGGACATTAATTTAGAAATAGCTTATTTCTCACTCTACAGCGCCAATTGACCAATGGACTCGGATGTACACAGATACACTGGCCCCTGTGTATACAAATAATGAACATGCTCGCTAACTCATGCGTCGTTATTATATCGGATCCCCAAGGGTTCTGTACAGTACATTTACTAACCTAGCCACTGTCCTTCCACTGCAGGCCGCAGGTTAACATCTACAAGCACATAGTGGGGTTATCGAAAGTTTGGTAAGTGTTTACACACGACCTATACACATCTATAGGTTTCAAAAGTGCAGGCCTCCTATGATAGACATCTTTATACCGTTTGTATACGGAGAATAATATATAGGATATCTCAAAGACGTTACCAAGCTACCGAAACGGGAAATAACTCTTGTATAAATATTATGTATACGTGGATAATTTAGTTGGTATACCAGACCAAGTTCAGTGATAGATATCCGTTACACTACACATGTGTTTTTACATGTTACAGGTGAGGAGGGCAATATACCAGGAAATTAAGCCATGGTGAGTACGTGTATGTTCAGGCATAAATCAACAAAACGTTCAATATATATACATGTATTAACGAGAGTACGTGTCGACCATGAGTACACACTCGCTTGGTTGAGGAACAGTGTAGGCCAGTATACAGCTGTGACAGCCAGGGGTGCTATCCTGGGGATTAGCTCTATATAAGCTGCACCAATCTCACGTATTAAGGTTCTGCAACTGAAGACAAAAACAAGAATTCTTAAGTTAGCTTAATCCCTAGGTTAGCACCCCTGTCACAGTTTGGGGAAAAGGTAATGAACACTGGAGGTCTCGCTGTTAATAGGTCAGAGATTTCTACTTCCGTCTGATACATTTATAATGTCTGTCGAACGACTTTTGGTTCGAATTTGTAGAAACTGACGCCGATAACATATGATACAAATATAGGCATCAGCTTGTCTGCTGAAATTATCAGATTTACGAATGATTTTCATGTCTACAGCGAAAATGAAAAAGATGAGTTGAAAGTTTAGGTAACCAAGTAATGCTGTATGTAAATATACCGAGTTTAAGTTAGTTAACCACAGTGAAGTGTCGGCAGTCCATATAAATAGGTAAATGTCTACCACCAACAGTGAGCTTAGTGCACAACGTATATCCGTCCGTCAATTTTGTATTTTTAAACTACTCCGTCACAAGAACCATAAAGCCAAGGGTCTAGTAATTGGGCCAGCTTGGTATGCTGGAATGACGGACTTTATATTTGATAAAACTAATGACGTCCCATTTTGAAGGTCATATCAGATCAAATGTATGAAAATTATTAAATCAGTTCTTCTGAATGCCCTTACATTGTTTCATAATCTGCTACACGTGTCTTGTCTGTCCTTATATTGTTTCATAATCTGCTATACGTGTCTTGTCTGTCCTTACATTGTTTCATAATCTGCTACACGTGTCTTGTCTGTGTTGACTTTGTTTCATAATCTGCTACACGTGTCTTGTCTGTCCTTACATTGTTTCATAATCTGCTACACGTGTCTTGTCTGCCCTTATATTGTTTCATAATCTGCTACACGTGTCTTGTCTCTCCTTACATTGTTTCATAATCTGCTACACGTGTCTTGTCTGTCCTTACATTGTTTCACAAACTGCTATACGTGTCTTGTCTGTCCTTACATTGTTTCATAATCTGCTACACGTGTCTTGTCTGTCCTGACATTGTTTCATAATCTGCTACACGTGTCTTGTCTGCCCTTATATTGTTTCATAATCTGCTACACGTGTCTTGTCTCTCCTTACATTGTTTCATAATCTGCTACACGTGTCTTGTCTGTCCTTACATTGTTTCACAATCTGCTACACGTGTCTTGTCTGTCCTTATATTGTTTCATAATCTGCTACACGTGTCTTGTCTGTGCTGACATTGTTTCATAATCTGCTACACGTGTCTTGTCTGTCCTTATATTGTTTCATAATCTGCTACACGTGTCTTGTCTGTCCTTACATTGTTTCATAATCTGCTACACGTGTCTTGTCTGTCCTTATATTGTTTCATAATCTGCTACACGTGTCTTGTCTGTCCTTATATTGTTTCATAATCTGCTACACGTGTCTTGTTTGTCCTTACATTGTTTCATAATCTGCTACACGTGTCTTGTCTGTCCTTACATTGTTTCATAATCTGCTACACGTGTCTTGTCTGCCCTTATATTGTTTCATAATCTGCTACACGTGTCTTGTCTCTCCTTACATTGTTTCATAATCTGCTACACGTGTCTTGTCTGTCCTTACATTGTTTCACAATCTGCTACACGTGTCTTGTCTGTCCTTATATTGTTTCATAATCTGCTACACGTGTCTTGTCTGTCCTGACATTGTTTAATAATCTGCTACACGTGTCTTGTCTGTGCTGACATTGTTTTAAAATCTGCTACACGTGTCTTGTCTGTCCTTACATTGTTTCACAATCTGCTACACGTGTCTTGTCTGCCCTTACATTGTTTTACAATCTGCTATATGTGTTTTGTCTGTCCTTACTTTGTTTTACAATCTGCTACACGTGTCTTGTCTGTGCTGACATTGTTTTAAAATCTGCTACACGTGTCTTGTCTGTCCTTACATTGTTTCACAATCTGCTACACGTGTCTTGTCTGTCCTTACATTGTTTTACAATCTGCTACACGTGTCTTGTCTGTCCTGACATTGCTTAATAATCTGCTACACGTGCCTTGTCTGTCCTGAAATTGTTTTAAAATCTGCTACACGTGTCTTGTCTGTCCTGACATTGTTTTACAATCTGCTACACGTGTCTTGTCTGTCCTGACATTGTTTTACAATCTGCTACACGTGTCTTGTCTGTCCTTACATTGTTTTACAATCTGCTACACGTGTCTTGTCTGTCCTTACATTGTTTCATAATCTGCTACACGTGTCTTGTCTGTCCTTACATTGTTTCATAATCTGCTACACGTGTCTTGTCTGTCCTTACATTGTTTCACAATCTGCTAGACGTGTCTTGTCTGTCCTGACATTGTTTTACAATCTGCTACACGTGTCTTGTCTGTCCTGACATTGTTTTACAATCTGCTACACGTGTCTTGTCTGTCCTTACATTGTTTTACAATCTGCTACACGTGTCTTGTCTGTCCTTACATTGTTTCATAATCTGCTATATGTGTCTTGTCTGTCCTTACATTGTTTCATAATCTGCTACACGTGTCTTGTCTGTCCTGACATTGTTTCACAATCTGCTAGACGTGTCTTGTCTGTCCTTACATTGTTTTACAATCTGCTAGACGTGTCTTGTCTGTCCTTACATTGTTTCATAATCTGCTATATGTGTCTTGTCTGTCCTTACATTGTTTCATAATCTGCTACACGTGTCTTGTCTGTCCTTACACTGTTTTACAATCTGCTAGACGTGTCTTGTCTGTCCTTACATTGTTTTACAATCTGCTAGACGTGTCTTGTCTGTCCTTACATTGTTTTACAATCTGCTAGACGTGTCTTGTCTGTCCTTACATTGTTTTACAATCTGCTAGACGTGTCTTGTCTGTCCTTACACTGTTTTACAATCTGCATCGTTTCGTTCTGTGTCGTTCACTTTAAATATATTTTTGTAAAAGATTGAGGGTATGAAGTTTTACTACTTTGATCACTGGTTCTGTTTCACGAGTTTTGTATCATCATATGTAGTCGTTCAGGTATAAGTAATCACCGATTTATTTCTGTTTATTTCATGCTTTATCACTGTAGCGTGACATACAGGATATGGACCACGTCGAGAATGGAGGAGTGACGGACAAAGTTACAGAACAATCCGGTGAAGAACCACGTGACCTTTTATACGCGGTGAATGAAGTGCCGCCGTGGTACCTGTGTATCATCCTCGGATTCCAGGTATGTCTGTCAATCTAAAGCCTGTCCACCCACACTATTCAGGGCAGGCGACTAGGCCTTGGTGGGGTAGGATTATTTCTGAGATATCGGTGTTTCGCGTGGATACTGTCAGACTCGTGGAGAACTTCCAATCAAGCAAACTCAAGTTTCTATAGCTATCGTGTTTCGTCTGTCGTCGTGCACCGTACACCGTGCGCCGTGCGTAAACTTTCCGTTCAAATGATCTCTTTTCAATAGCCAAAAGACCCTGAGTGTTGATATTGGAAATGTAGTATGATCGGATGAAGGGCTTCCAAAGTTTGTTCATATTATTGACCTTGACCTACTTTTCAAGGAATCAGGGGTCAAGTATGTTAAAGTCTTTAAACAAGTTCTTCTCAATAACCGAAAGGCACAGAGTGCTGATATTGAACCGGTAGCATGCTGCGATGAAAGGTTGTTTATTTTGTTCATGTGGTTGGCTTCTTCTCTTGTTGAAGGTCACAGGAGTCAAATGTGTTGAAATCTCCAAACGACTTCTTCTCAATAACAAAAGGTCTAGGCCGTTTATATTGGTTCTTTAACATAAGTGGTTAAGAGCTACCGATTCATTCAACTAATTGACCTTGATCAAGGTCTTTAAGGTCAAATGAGTTGAGTTCTTAACATTTCTTTTTCAACAAGCAATAATTCCGGAGTAGTAGGATGTATAAAGAGTATGATTTCAAGTTTGCAAAAAATGTTTGTACGAGCGATTTATCTTGGGTCAATTTGGCCTTTTTCATGTAGAAATCTTTACAGTCAGAAGACCGTTAAGAACCATGGGCCTTTTGTTTTTAAATTCACGGAACTTTGCGTTAAGTAGTCTTTTTATCGTATAAATCAGTTTTACATAACAGAGAGTGGCGAATAGTGTACCTCGGAAAACAAATGTTACATGTAGACAAATTCAAATTCTTTATTCCTTTGGCCTTTCGACCTATTAAATTTGTTTACAATATATCCTATAGCACTCAATCATATAACATTGTGGAGAGTGATACACCCTTAAGTATCTAACTGTACAAACGATACAAACTCCAAACAATCATACTTATATGTGTATACTGTATATATTTATTAATAATTGAATTAACATCCCGTCGTTTATTAGCCAGAAGTAGAGATTTCCCCAAACTGTTTCATTCTGTAGTAATTTGTATACACTTGGCGGTCTTCTGTAATTGGTTTAATTAATTTTTGTCGGATATCTAATAATGGGACAGGAAATTATAAAATGGTGTTCATCTTCGGTCTCGTCGACATTACACTTACTACATTTTCTTTAATTTCGCACAGTCTTTCTGAGTCGACCACTTTCTATATCAAGGTGATGTAGTTTTACATAGACTCATCAAGTTCATGCCAAAATTATTAACGTGCTTGTCCATATTACTACGTAGTTGGGTGTAGAGGTGGGGGTAGAGGTTGGTAAATGTCGGGTAGGCAGTGAATAACATTGGGGTGTAGGGGTGGCGGTAGAGGTTGGTAAATGTCGGGTAGGCAGTCAATAACATTGGGATGTAGAGGTGGGGGTAGAGGTTGGTAAATGTCGGGTAGGCAGTCAATAACATTGGGTTGTAGGGGTGGGGATCGGGGTGGAGGTTGGTAAATGTCGGGTAGGCAGTCAATAACATTGGGGTGTAGAGGTGGGGGTGGAGGTTGGTAAATGTCGGGTAGGCAGTCAATAACATTGGGGTGTAGAGGTGGGGGTAGAGGTTGGTAAATGTCGGGTAGGCAGTCAATAACATTGGAGTGTAGGAGTGGGGATCGAGGTGGAGGTTGGTAAATGTCGGGTAGACAGTCAATAACATTGGATTGTAGGGGTGGGGATCGGGGTGGAGGTTGGTAAATGTCGGGAAGGCAGTCAATAACATTGGACAATAACTGAATCCTCATGCAGTTCATCATTTTGAATAAAATCATCAGAAGTACTACTTAGTTTCTTCCAAAACGTTAAATAGGTCACTGTCATTGTTATCCTAGTAAGTACTATTAATATGAGGTGAGTAATTCGCTATCAGGTATCTAGTATCTTCTTCGGTTCGATTTACACTTAGTTTCAGTACTATATCGGTCACGATTCTTATGGATATATGACAATTTCTCATTCACTCCCTCCCTCGGGACCCTTCAATACCTCATTCCCTCCCTCGGGACCCTTCAATACCTCATTCCCTCCCTCGGGGGCCTCAATACCTCATTCCCTCCCTCGGGACCCTTTAATACCTCATTCCCTCCCTCGGGGGCCTCAATACCTCATTCCCTCTCTCGGGGCCCTTCAATACCTCATTCCCTCTCTCGGGGCCCTTCAATACCTCATTTCCTCCCTCGGGACCCTTTAATACCTCATTCCCTCCCTCGGGGCCCTTCAATACCTCATTCCCTCCCTCGGGACCCTTCAATACCTCATTCCCTCCCTCGGGGCCCTCATTACCTCATTCCCTCCCTCGGGGCCCTTCAATACCACATTCCCTCCCTCGGGGCCCGAAGGGACAAGTGAGCTTATGCTTTGGTGCGGTATCCTTCGTCTGTCGTTAGGCGTCAACTTTTTAAAAAAATAAACCACTTAATAACTATCAGACAAAATATTTTGATATTACAGGTATGTTGCTAGGATGAATTCCAACAAAGTTTACGAAAGGAAATGACCTTGACCGATATTCAAGGTCACAGGGGCCAGATTTCTTCTAATCTTTAAAAGATTTCTTCTCGTAAATTAAAATACCTCGGGGCACGATATTTGAGTGGTATGTTCATAGGATGAAGCCAGAAAAAGTTTGTGGAAAGATGTGACCTTGACTTATATTCAAGGACACAGGGATAAAATTAGTTAAAACCTTTATTCGACTTTTGCGGATTAACTAAAAGGCTTTGAGGCAATATTTGGCTGGTATATTCCTTTGATGAACCCCGTCAGAGTTTGCGAAAAGAAATTACCTTGACCAATATTCAAGGTCATGGGAGTCAATTTGATGAAATCTCTAAAAGTTCTAGAGGCTTGATATTGTGCTCGTAGATATATACTAAACAAAAAAAGAAAGGTAACACTTCTTTATTTTGTGATTAATTAATTAGCCCCTTCATAAATCCTTACCAATCATGTACGAATAAAGTAATTGATCAATTCTGATAAAACTGCAGTCATGGTTCATTATAAAACATTGCGTTCAGTTGATTTTATTCGACTGTAAAGGACGTTGGGGTCAATTTCAAAGGTAACACCATTAGTAACGGGTATGGCCATCGTTTGCGAAGTAAAAAGTATTGCAGCGTCGTCGCATGGAACTCGTTAACCGGCAGATAATTCGAGGAGAGATGTTGTTTCATTCAGCGATTAAGGCTTGGGCCAGCTCCTGCAAGTTTGACGGCTGATTTTGACGTTCTCTCACGCGTCGCCCAAGAACGTCCCAGACATGCTCAATCGGTGACAAATCAGGTGATTTAGATGGCCAATCCAACACCTGTACGTTATTCTGCTGCAAGAAAGTTCTGCTGACGCGACTGGTGTGCGCTGGTGCGTTATCCTGTTGAAAAATGGCGCCAACGCCATAGCGTCTCAAGAATGGCAGAACCACTGGTCTTAAAATTTCGTCCCGATATCGAATGCCGGTTAAATTGCCATTTAACACAACAAGCCTGGTACGAGTCCCCCCACAAAGACCACCCCAAACCATTACACTTCCGCCGCCAAAGCGGTCCCATTCTGCGACGCAGCAGTTCGCAAAACGCTCCCCTCGTCGCCTCCACACTCTGCGCCTTCCGCCACCGTGTTGCAGACAAAACCTGGACTCATCTGAAACCAGAACATTGTTCCATTGTCGTAAGGCCCAACGACGGTGAACACGGGTCCAGTTACGCCGATTATTACGGTGACGTCGCAACAAATTGGGTCCAGTGTAGGGACGCCGCGCTTTCAATTGGTAGGCCCTCAACCTGTTGCGGACTGTTTGGGGAGACACACGACGCCCAAACAATGTCCTTGTAGTCTCTACTGCGGTTACGAATCGATTGCGCAAGTGTATCAATCGTATACGACGGTCATCCCTGGCGGTCGTTTTACGGGGTCGGCTGCTTCGGGGACGATCGGATGTTGACCCAGTTTGGTTTAAACGACTTACCAACTGACAAATTGCCTTAACACTGCAACCAAAATGCCGTGCAACTCGACGGCGAGACTCCCCAGCCTGGATCATGCCCACAGCCCTTTCTCTCTGTACTTGTGACAGCCGGGGCATAATGATAAAATTGATAGATAGCAAGATTCGGTGATTTCTAAGTCCTTAGGATCTAAGGAACAGTTGTCAGTTTGAATGTTTATGAAATTCAAGCGAAGATACAAGTTAGTCGCAGAAAACCTCGTGCAGCTCTTTCGCTAATACATACTTTCACGCTTGAATGATTTTGGTAACCCCCTTGGATTTTGTAATGTAAAACATTACCATTTTCTAATATTGCACAAACGTCATTTTGTTTTCACTCATTTGCAGGTATTCGCTAAGGAAACATGTTAACCTTTCTTTTTTTTTGTTGACTATATATACACCAGTTGAGCGCTGCAGGCCCATCGTGCCTCTTGTATAAAAATAAAGCTTATTAAATTTCTGGTTGTCTGCTTTTCTATGTACTGTTTCTAGTCACTATGTTTTTAACGCTCTTGAAAGCAGCCCGTTATCATCTGAAAGTGCGATACTAGTGCATCTTACTTTTCACACTCGCTCACTTTGAGACAGACTTTTTCACTTAAGAATATCAGCTAACAGTTATTTCCCTTGGACTGCTCGATTCGAAATAACCATGGCGTCGGTATCATGACAAGACAGCGACATGCAGATAATGTCACGTGATATAACTGTCACTGAATCGTGACATAACGTGGATACAACTGTCACTGAAGCGTGACAAAAAGTAAAAATAGGAATATGACTCAATGTTACACTCCAAACTATCTCCTTTATTGTAAAACATACAGAGGAATATTT